CGGGGCGCCCTTCTGGGCTGGTACCCGGGCAAGGAGTGGGATTTTGCCTCCCGCTGGCCGCTGCCACTGCCCCATCGGAGCGGGTGCCCCCGCGGCTGAGCCTGCCCGTGCGCCCGCCGCTCCAGCTCCCCTCCCGCGATGGCCGGGCCCTCCCCTGGGTATTCGGCGGCGATATTTCTTCGCTCTTGAAATTCTGGTCCTTGCGCGGCGGCTTCTCTCAACCCTGACTCTCAGCCTGGCTGTGTTGGCCTCTCGCCCCTTTCTGTAGCCTCTAGTTCTGGTGCTACGACGTGAGGAATTTGGGAGGGTTGAGTGTTTCCGCTGCTTTGCACGGTCTGCAGGGTTTTTGCGGGTTTTCAGAGAACCGCGAAACAAAGAAGTCTGTGGTGCTCCCAGAGCCCGGGACTGGAGCCTTCGGCTCTCGGGAACCCGCTGAGGCTTGAGACCTCCCTCCCTGGCCCAGGGCCTGGCCCACCTGAGAACCCATGCCCAGTGACGTTGGAAAGGCTGGGCCTTCGTCCTGGAGGGGCAGTCAGGGTCAGCGCCCCAAGTTCAGCTGTTGGTGTCCAAGTTTCCGCCCTGCCCTACCCCTTCGCAGAAAATCTCTTCACCTCCTGGGGCCACACTGAGGAGTCGCCCCTGAACTGTTTCCAGGCCTTGGGAGTCGCCCTGTTGCCCTTCTCTCCATCTAGGTTATTGGTCAGGGTTTTTCTGACCTGTCTCTATTCTGGAATCGGGTACAGGAGAGTCACAAAGACAAGTTATAAAATCTACCCAGAGGTCACGTAGTCCAACTCCCATACAGCAGCTCAGCAGAAGTGCTTGATATTCTCCTGTGGACTTCACCACCTCCTCCGGCGGCTGATTGGATTTCTGAGTGTCTGTTTGGTTTGGCATCCCGGAGCGGTGCAAACCGTTAAGCGCTAGGCTGCTAACCGCGTGCTTGGCAGTTCAAGTCCACCCGGGACACCTGGGAAGAAAGAGGCCTAGTGATCTACTTCCAAAAAATCAGCCACTGAAAACCCTATGGAGTAGTTCTGCTCTGACACACATGGGATCACCGTGGGTCGAAGTCAACTGGAAGGCAACTGTTTGTTTTGTTTTGTTTTCTATTTGATACTTGGTTTACCTTGCACTCAGCCCAAAGATGTAGATTTCTCTCTCGCTTTGCCCTACTGGCCTGTAAGTACTGCCCCTTGGGGTCATTAGACCAGGGCAGTTCTTCCCCTGTGACAGACAGGGGTCTGTGAGCTCATCACTACAGTTCCTTCCACTCACATGGTAAGAGACCTTTGCTCCGGGCGGTTTGCCCACATCCTCCTTAAAGTGCGGGGCCCGGGATGGAGCCCAGTGCCCGGGTGTGACATGGTCCACCCGCCCAGGGAGGGGCATTCGTAAATGTCTTCTCTGGCTGTTCGTTGCAGCCCCACCTGCCCTTCTCCTCATGCCTGCAGTTTTCTCCTTTTT